AATGCCAATCGATGCGTCCCTCCATTGGAGCAACCAAGCGTCAGCGCGGCTATCTCCACCACATTAAATGCACCCTCATCCGCATTTAATGCTCTGAAAAAGAATGTCATTTCAGCATGGCTTGTATTTAATGCGCATGGCTAGCACTTATTATGCAATAGACATGTCTGTCAAAATAAAGATTATTTTATTGACCAGACTAGCTGTCAAGCGCAACAGATAACATTTGAAGAGGTCGATCAAGTAAAACACTCTTCGTCGTGTATCGGTTTCAAGACGATGTGATTCCTTGCTTTTGGTAAAAATGTGCTAAGTATTCTCAAGTCGCGAGCTGTGAATGAGACTTAAAACATGTTAGTATGACACTGAGTAGGGTTTGACCCAGGTTATTGAACCTGTGGGAGAAGGCCACCTCAGGTCGCTTGTGCTATTCTTAGAGGTATATGCTACGACCTCCTTGCGGCTCGATCAGCTCGACCAAACATCATTCGAGACAAGTCAAGTCGCGGCATAATTATGAAGTTCTCAAGGTTCAATCCTTAAACCTTAAAAACTGGGGGGCTTCTGTTATGCCTAAAAAGTCTGGGCTAATGTGGACTCTCGTCAACAAGAGCCAATCATAATTCATGGAGGCTTTGTGTCGTCTAGACGTTGCCACGTCGCATAATGATGGAAGAGGTATGGTTCTTGTCAGTGCAGTAGGTGAATGTTAGGCTTGCAAGTGGTTATGAATCGTCCACCTGCCCAAGCCCTACGCAATTTAAGGATATCTCTTGTGCGGACAACCAATGGGAAGCGGGTTAGGAATTGTACCCCACCTGCCGGACTGCAGACTCATGATTATTACCTTGAATCCTCCCACTATAAATAGAGGACTCCTCTCTCATTTACGGGATTGGCTTATCTATAGTCTTAAACAACATACTCTCTCTCTCTCTCTCTCTCTCTCTCTCTCTCTCTCTCTCTCTCTCTCTATATATATATATATATATATTCTATCTCAAGATTGTAACTCAGCTCGCTACATGCGACCTGACTGTAATAATCTAGTAGGAATCGCTTTTGAGCATCCGAACTACTTTAAAAACTGTCTCTTATTTTCTCTCTTGCTACATATTTTCATATCACGTGTAACTTCTAAGTCTGCTTAACATTTTGCACGTGTGAATCGTTTGTGTCAAAATCAAGCATCAACAAAAGTGATTTAAAAATAGTGTCGAGGGTAATTCAAACAACCGACGCAGGAAGCCAACAACACTGACTTCCGAAAAAATATGATCTTTAATGCAAAGATAAGCCTCCGTCAACGCACTTAATACATTTGTGTAAGAAAATTAAATGTGACACCATTAATCAGTTTGCATACGTTGACGCTTTATTTGTGTTGCGATGTCTTTGGATACCAACGTAGTTTGCATCAGAAAAAATATGTTTGATTCATGATGTTTTCTTGCGTCTCAAAGTATTACGTTGAAAAAAAGGGCATTGAGGATGGTCAAACTTTTCAATATTACGAGGGGAGCCACCCTTAGCTCCCGGGGTGTTCAAAAAAATCCGTAAACCGAATCGAATTGAAAATCGGTTTTTTGGTGAAACCGATTTGGTTTTAGTTCAAAAATCTTTTGAACTGGTTTTTCGGATCAGTTACCTATTTAGCAGATAAAGAGGATTTTCTTCAAATTTTGACTTGATATCTCTCTCGAATCCGTATGAAAACAAAAGTTAGGAAAGGTAATTTGTAACTCCACTGAATCTATGTTGGATTTTGTTTCTTTTGCTGTGGTATAAACTGTGTTTGCTGTACTGGATTACCTTGAACTGCTGAATTCAAGTTGTGCTGTGGGAACTGAGGTTGAGTTTGTAGGCTGTAAACTGTTTATTTTTATTTATTTATTTTGTTAGTTTGATAGTAATGTTTGAAGATAAGTTGATCGAGAAAGGAAGAAGAAATCTGTCAATTTTAATAGGGAGTAAATGCACTATTACACTCTTTACGTTTTTAATGTTATACCATTTAACTTTTAATCAAATAATTTAATTCCATTGAGGAAATAAGGTTATATATAGAAACATATTTCAATTATGTTAATTAGGTGGTTGTTAGATTTTCATAACTTTTAAAGTAGGGCTCTCAAATCATAAAGGCTTTGTTTGGTTGCATTTTGAGAATACTACTTTTAGTATTCCCAAAAAAGTTAAACAGTAAAATACCCAAACAATGTTATTTAATATTATTCAATTTTTTTTAAACCCTCTAAATTTGTTAATTTAATTAAATACGCCTAAATATTTTTTAAAAAATTGTAAAAACACCCCAACAATCCACATTTACCAGATTCTAGCCACCACTGCCGGAAAATGGCTGGAATCTAGTAGGATGGCGCACTATCGGCTGAATCTAGTAGGATGGCGCACTATCGGCTGAATCTAGCCAGTAATGCGCCGATCTAGCCAGATCCGGAAAATGCCAAATCTAAGGCCAAAGATCTGGCCATTGACAGCCAGATCTGGCCATTGACAGCCAGATCTGGCCATATTTGCTCATCATTGACCATCAACAACGATCGTTTGTTGGTTGTCGTTGACGAACAAATATGGCCAGATCTGGCCGTCAATGGCCAGATCTAGCCGTAGATCTGGCCTTTTCCGGCCAGATCCACCGTGGATCTGGCCGGAAAAGGTATATCGGCCCACAATTGGCAAGATCCAGTCGGTCATGCGCCGATACGGCGACTCCGACCACCCTCCGGCGGTGGTGGTCGGCTGTCCGTATTTGAGGGTGGGTTGGGGGTATTTTTGTTAACTTTTAATGTTTTATTATAGGGGATATTTTGTAGAAAAACAAACATAGGGAGTATTTTTAATTTGTAAATCCTACATCGTAATACCCGCCCAATTCAACTTTTTTTTAACTTTTCCAAAAAACACAAAATTGTGAACCAAACAGAGCCAAATCTATTTACATTGTTCAAGGAAAAACCGGTTAGTAAAAATCGTTTCAAATAAGGGAAAACCGGTCTGGTTAACCGGTTATAAACACCCTACTTAAGTCCACTCTTACATGAACCAAATTCAATGAATTATATATTATAAGAAAAGAGAGGTATTGTAACTACCTTCCTCCTTTTTTTTTTTTTTTTTTTTTTAACAATATTCACGGTTGGTATACTCAAAACGCATCAACTTAACTTCACACTACATCATGTGTACTCAAAAGATAACATAACATATAAAAGTAGATTAACACAGTTCTTTGTAAGGACACAACTCATCAGTTCAGTTTCGAATCTTTTACACTTCAAGAATATGCCAAGGAATGTACATAAATCCAGATATAGTAGATGTTCAATGGACTCTATAGATTAATTGAGGTGTTCGCAAATTAATTTGAATACCTCGGTATCCAAAAAAAAGATTACAACTAAACTCTCTTTATGGTTATTTTTGCTCAAGATCTCAAATAATTTATTGCCTCGTGTTTCCATAAATATATTTAACTCTAAAAACTAATATTAACACCTTGTTTAATTTAAGTTACATTATATGATCAACTTTCCATTTAAACAATAAAATTTGTAACAAATTTCTAAACTATAAAACTTAGAATAGGAAAAAGTAAAAATCAAAATAAAAAAAAATGAAGAAGAAGAAGAAAAACTAATAAGGAATCCTCTAAACGAGGATTAAGTAATTTTGAGTATAGAAGGATATGAGATCCAAAAGCTAATTTATGTTGAAAAGGAAAAACATCAAGTCATTTTGATAATTATCATAAGCTTTAATTTACTTGTAAAATTACAAATTCTGATTTACCTAAATTTCTTTTGATTTTTCTGCAACGGTAGATATAAAACTTTTAAATAAAAATATGGAGGAAGAAAAATAATTTTTTATGATAATTATATCCTAGAAGATGGGTGCTAAAGAAGAAAATGACGGGACTAAAAATCATTCCCATTAAAAAAAAATTGTAACTTTAGGACTCTTTTTTTTTTATTAATGTTATTAATTTTAAGAGATTAATTTGATAAAACCAAAATTGTAATCAATAATAGTCACATAATTAGGGGTGCATACGAGCCGAGCCGAGCCGAGCCGAGCCGAGCCGAGTAATGGTTGGCTCGAGCTTGGCTCGAATGTATTAGGAGGAGGCTCGAGCTCGATGGGCTTTGGCGCACGAGCTCGAGCTCGGCTCGTTTAAAAAAATAAATGGCTCGAGCTCGGCTCGGCTCGGCTATTTATAAGGATTTAAGAAAACGACGTCGTTTTGAACTCACCTACTTCTTCTTCTTCCACCACCCCTCCCACTAACTTCTCGGTCGAATCTGTTGAGACCAAAATCCAACGCCTCATCTCCACCCAGTCATAATCTTCAGTCGATCTTCCTGTTGCATGTGCCATGTCATAAGGAAACTACTCACCACCATTGGAGTTCACCCCACCGTCATTGAACTCGTGAGATCTCAGCTTTACCTCCGACCTAGTCTCATGCGGCACCTGCATCAGTGGCCTTGACTCTCTCTCTGTTTTCGGCCGAATGAATGACTTTATTTCAGATTTTAGGGCAACTATGAATACACAAGCTGAAACCTTACCGATCGATCTCAGGAGCTCTTCTACTCAAATGACGTCTCGAGTGATTCGAACAGCTCGCGAACAGTTCGAATCGAGCCCAAAAAGCTTGACATTTTTCACGAGCTTGAAGTTGAGCTCGAACTCGTGAACTACTCGTTCTCCGACAAGTCGAGCCTGAGCTCGTCACGAGTTGAATCTGAGTAGCTCACGAGCTACACGGTTCGACTGCACCCCTACACATAATCAAGGGCTGAAATTAATATCACATATAACCTGGTAAGTTTAAGAGACATATTACTCTTGGTTATAAATCTCGTTAAAACGCACCATTTCAACTGCAATCGTAAATCTCTAAAACCCAGACGGCATTTCCATAATCTAACAGAACCCTAACGCCCTCACTATATAATCCTCATTTCAATTCATTCTTTTGGCTTCACTTTACACTTTCAGCTTAGGGTTTCTCCTCTCTCCAGAAAAAGAAAACCCTAACAACAATGGCAACCGCAGCCCCGGCCCCTGTAGAGTCGGTGCAATGTTTCGGCCGCAAGAAGACGGCCGTCGCCGTCACTTACTGCAAGCGCGGCCGCGGTCTGATCAAGATCAACGGCTGTCCAATCGAGCTGGTGGAGCCGGAGATCCTGCGCTTCAAGGCTTACGAACCGATCCTCTTGCTCGGACGACACCGTTTCGCCGGCGTCGACATGAGGATTCGCGTGAAGGGCGGAGGACACACGTCGCAGATCTACGCGATCAGACAGAGCATAGCTAAGGCACTCGTGGCGTTTTACCAGAAGTTCGTTGACGAGCAGAGCAAAAGGGAGATCAAGGACATTCTTGTAAGGTACGACAGGACCTTGCTTGTGGCGGATCCCAGGCGGTGCGAGCCCAAAAAATTTGGTGGTCGTGGTGCCAGAGCTAGGTTCCAGAAGAGTTACCGTTGAACGGACGACTGGTCGTTTTTACAGTGCTGGCTTGTTTTGACTTTTATCAAATTTTGGGAATTTAGACTTCGGAAGGATATTAGTGAAATGGGCTATTGTTGTTTTGGTGTCCTAAGCGGTTTCACTAGTCTTTGTTATTATCTTTATTATGGATCATTTGCTTAAGCTTAATGGATGATTATAGTTGTCAAATTCATGTTGGATTGTTATTATTAGTTATAGTGTTTTTTTATTTAAATTATTTCTGAAGTAGATTAATGATAGACCGTTGTGTTGTTTTTATTGAATATTACTTTGAGGTTATGTAGTGGTCTAATGTTTGAAGTTTCTATATGTTTGTTAAACATTTATGTTGTTTTTTAATATTTTAGAGGCATTGTTTAGTATTTGTTTTTTTATTTTTTCCAGAATGTTGTCTGTTTTAAGTTTGCTTTCAGAAAAAAGAAATTCATCTTGCCCTCCTATGGCTATATGTGATAGTTATGTACTACATCGTTAATGTTTTTGTTCTTGGGTTCTTTAATGGTTATTTTGAATGGTGACAGATATTACTAGTTTCTAGTATTTATTTGTCTAGAATTGTGTTCCAATGCATGTTTTGGTTATCGATATGCTGCTACGTCCGTTGCATTTCTTTAGTATGCTTGAGTTTTGGGATATCATGGTCTTTCTTCGATACTTGTCTTGTAAATTTAGGATATCTAGTTGTTTAATTAAAACTTCAGTATTTGTTTAGCTAACTTTTTTTGTCTAAGAATTAGAATGGTACGTTTACGCGTTAGTATACTTTATCAGAGGTTCTTTTTTCGGAAGTTCATATTAGTTGATTTTGCAAGGATTTTGACATGCTAATAAGGCTAATATCTGGATCAGTCTGCCTCAACCAATTTAGTTAGCTTGGGTGTGGTATGGTTTTGTTGTAAGGTTAGTATCTGGGATCTAGATTTTGTTTGTTACAGTGATGATCGTTTATTGTTGCTCAGAATGCAGGTGTTGCCTGTTGAGCTTTCTTTTTATTATTAATTCAGGACTAAGGTATATTTTAGTTACATCTGATGGATCTTATTGTACCCAGAAGTTTGATTGATTCAACTTTGGATCTTTCTTTTCATTCTTTTGCTTAGGATGTAGGGTTTTAAAGGTTTGTCAACTTGTTTAACCATAGCTCCTCATTATTGAAGAACTAAAACTTTGAGGGTACAATTTTTTGAGCTTTATCCATGAGAGCTCCTCTCTGTTTATGGCTCGGGAGAGTTTCTACTTTCTGTTTTTTCTTCATTTAGAAGAATTATTTTGGTGGTCTCAAATTTATTTTGTTTGGGAATTGAAGCCTAGATAATCAGTTAGTCATTAGAATTTCGTGCATGTATGGTGATTTTCATGGAACTTATTTTGTCTTTCATCTATTCTTAATAGAAGTATGTACCAAGTGTTTTTTTATTCTTGTTCTAATTTCGTTATGTATTTTATTGGTAGATGTTTTTCCATCAATACTGGATTCATTTGATAATGTTTAATAAATTGTATTTGGGGTTACAAGCTTTTGTTGCCTGTATGACATTGATGATAGATGGGCAATATTTCTAATTAAACCTACGGAAGATTAATCTACTATCCAAATATGGTGGTGCATAATTGGTACTGATGAAAATATTTATTTACTATTCGTTACTTGCATTTTTCTGATTGACTCGTCATTTGATTGTCCTGTAACCCCCGTCACATTGAAGCCCCGTTTCCGTATGATAAGAAGGTGAAGTGTTTTTGGAAAAACATTTTCACCTCAACCTTTGTCTGAATAATGGGCAAGGCTTATACCATCATCCTTTGGTTATAATCATCCCTATTGGTATTGGCAGTACACAGGCCCTGTTTCAATGAGATGAATGAATTAATTAAATTTCCTTCTCAATTTCAATCTAATTTAATGTATATTTTATTTAATAATATAATTTTATAGACCAAATGATGTGTTATCATTTGTGGAGTTGACACGAAAATAAATTGATGATATATTGAATGATATAATAAAGTCCATTAAATGACATCTCATTCATTGTTTTAAAACCCGGAGCGGAGGGCAATCCATTTTGTTGTTTGGGTCACGAGTCAACATATCCAATCGGTTGGATCGGTGATGTCAGCAATAATTTAATTTTTAAAAAATTACTATTAATCCCTTAAATTTTAGTATATTACAAAAATATCCCTTAAAAATTTTAAATTAGTCCCTAAAATTTTTATTTATTTAAAAAATGCCCCAAAAAATAATCAATTGATCCCTAAATTTTTTATATATCTCCCAAAGGCCCCTAAAAAATAACAAGGTAGTCCCTATAAATTTGAAATATTACAAATACCCCCTAAACCCTAAACCAGATCAGAGAAGCTGTCGGGTCTTGATCGAACCGGTCCAACTGGCCAAAATTTGAGATAAATGTTTGGAATGGATAGTATTATTCTAATAAATTTGGGACATTTTATTAAAAGATCAAATCAAGTTAAAATTTAATTAAAAGGTCATGTAGCTTTAAAGTGTTAAGTAAATAGCCCTGTTATTGATTAAGGTTAATTAAACATGACTAGTGGTTAATTAGGATTAATGAAGTATACATAATTTTTAAAAAATTATAATATGTCCCCAAAAAAGCTGAAATTCATGCTAACAAACCCAAACACCTTCTTTATCTTCCTCTCACCATTAGTGCACCTCCCCTGGTCGTTGTTTCTATTAAGCTTCTCCTCCATCTTCTTTTTCCTCTCCATCTTCTTCTTCCTCCGCCATTAACACTTTCTTCTTCTTTTGCCATCAACATCTTTTTCGCCAAACATCTGCCTCCTCCTCTTCCTGACATTTTGTCCAGGTATGTGTATCTTCTTTTTGCATTTTAAATTTCAATTTACAAAGATTTAATTATGGATTGGGTTTGGGTTATGATTTTGATTTAGTTATTTAGGTTGTTGAGTTTTGTTTGATGTAATGCAAGTTGAAAGGAGTGAAATTTGTTGAATATTTTCTTGCATTGTGGGTAGCTCGGGGTGGTAGCAACGATTGTAGGTAGAGATGATTGAAAATGTGTTCTGGATCTTATGGATCACTTAAGTGATCTGGTATATTTGGTATAATGTAGCAGATGGCAGATCGCTTAAGCGATCAAGTATATGGCAGAAAATCGCTTAAGCGATCTGCTATAAGTCTAGTATATGGTAGCAGATCGCTTAAGCGATCAGGTATATGACATAATATCTCTTAAGCGATTAGACTTCCTTATACTAGATCGCTTAAGCGATCAGGTATATGACATAATATCTCTTAAGCGATCAGACTTCCTTATACTAGATCGCTTAAGCGATATACTTGATCACTTAAGCAATCCAGTAGACGATATACTTGATCACTTAAATGACTCTGGAGATGTTTTTTAAAATTTGTCAACCCTTAATATATCGGTTAATAATTTTTGTTTTCTTGCATTATAGGTACTTTACTATTATTAGACATGGGACAAGTGGTTTTGGATGTTTAATATTTTGGTGAGTGGGTGGAGGAAGAAAGTTGTTGGAAGTGGATTGGGAAGAGCAAACAAGTTAAAGCAATTGTTGTGAGTACAAAAGTTAGTTTTGATAAGTTGATCAATGAAATCATTAGAAGAGGTGAGTTAAGTTGCTCACGTAGTGATATAGTTGTGAAACATGTTTTAAGTAGAGCTCCTGCAAATTTTAAGATACCCCTTGTTGTATTAATGTCTGATGAAGATGTGAAGTTATTTATGCTTGATATGGGCGATAATGATTTGAGGCCGATTATAATGGTTTCGGTTTTGGACAAAGCTTTGGAAGTTGGTTTAAGAGTAAGTGGTGATCTGGGTGGGGAGAATGCTGGTTTTACTTTTAACTACGAGGATAATGATTTCTTTGTTGAAAAATCAAGAGTAGGCGATGATTTGGGTGGTGAGGAGGACACTGTAAAAGAGGTTGGTCATGTGGGACAGAATGAAAATATGGACGAGAAGGACCTCGTACATGTTTCCGCAGATGTAGAGATTCCTATAAATACAAATTATGTAGAATGTGTAGTTTGTGAGGAAGAGAACACTATGATCGTTTATATAGGTTCAGAGGCAACAATTGCGGGTAGTAGTGAATCACCTCACATTTTTACTGATGGACTGGACTTGCGTGTAGGTTATTTAAACTTGTTGTTGTGAGAGGTAATTTTGAGTTCATCACCAAAAAGTCTAATTCATCAATAGTGACAGTTGCATGTCATGGCCGAAAGTGCAAGTGGTGGGTTTATTGTAGAAGGTTGGTGGAGTCCGAATAATTTATTGTTAGCATATATACCTGTGAGCACACATGTGGGCTATGACATATTTCAGGCAAACATCGAAAAGCCTCTGTGGATGTTATTAGACAATTTGTCAAAAGTCAGTTTGTTGAAGGGAAAGGTCCATCTCCTAAGGACATTCAGAGAGACTTGTGTGCACAAAGTTGGGATGCGATGCTAGTTACTGAAAATGCTGAAAAGGGAGACAACATGCACAAGATTTTGTGAGGGGCACGCTAAAGCATGGGTATGTAGTATTAGAAGTGTACCGTTATATGCTTGAGTTGATAAACCAAGGTAGCAAGATGGCTTTGAAGTGGGACAAGAAAATGAGGTTTAAATATTTTTTTTTTTTTTTTTTTTGTTATAGTGCCGCTATAAGGGGTTTTGTAAACATGAGAAAGGTGTTGGCTATTGATGGTTGCTTTTTGATGAGATATTATAGAGGTACATTGTTGATGGCCACTACATAGGACAATGAAAATCACACATATCCCGTTGCATAGTGTGTGGTTAACTTTGAGAATGACAAGTCATGAACTTGGTTTTTCCAACAATTACTTACGATATTGCTTGATAGTGACGAGTTGTACATAATATCCAATAGGCACAACTCTATAAAGAAGGGGATTGTCATTATTTACCCTCAAGCACTTCATGAATTCTGTATGAGGCACTTTGGCGAGAACATAAAACAAAATTTTAAGTATGCTGGCCTCTTTCAGACATACTACATGGCAACAAAAGCTTATCGAGTTGATGAGTTTGAGGAGCACTTTCGGCAAATCCGAATCAAGGATGATAGAATTGCTAAGTATTTTGAGTATGATATTGGTTTCGAGCGATGAAGTAGAGCTTACTTTCTCAGAAGAAGGTTTGATGTCATGA